ATGTTGGTAAACTTGAAGTTGTCCCTTGGTTCTTGTATGTGCCCTGACCTGGGATTGAACCCACAACCTTGGTGTAAGGGGATGAGCTCCAACCAACTGAACTATGGGGCCAGAACAAATGTGTCCTTAATCTTAAGAGATGCCTGCTGAGCTATTAGGGGTAGAATGTCATGCAGTTTACTCTCCAGTGGTTCAGCAATGTCATGCAGTTTACTCTCCAGTGGTTCAGCAAAAGAAATGTATATATGCAGATAAAGAAAACTTAAAGCGTTAACAAATCTAGATGGAAGGGTATTCAAGTGCTCTGAATACATAATTTCTAAAAAAAAAAAAAGTTTTCTATGTGCTTGAAATTTTTCATAAAAGGAGGGTACAGCCCTAGCCGGTTTGGCTCAGTGGATAGAGCCAAACCAGCTAGGGCCGTGGACCAAAAGGTCCTGGGTTCAATTCCAGTCAAGGGCTTGTTTTTCCAGGCTCCTCCCCCTCCTGGACCTTGGTCAAGGTGACAATCAATCGATGTGTTTCTCTCACATTGATGTTTATCTCTCTCTCTCCCTCTTTGTTCCATTCTAAGAATCAATGGAAAATATCCTTGGGTGAAGATTAAAAAAAAAAAAAAAAAAAGGAGGGTACAATGCTAATAAATTAGAACAAGGCCCCCCACAAAGCAAATTTTCATAATTTTCCCCCCAACCTATTTTTTGGGCGGGGGAGGGAGGAAGCTCAGAGGCTTCCTCCGGGTCATACTAGTTACTAGTACACTGAGGAAGAGCTCACAGGAGTCATTTGATTAACATGTGTTTATCGATCACCTACTATGCGGTGAGCACTGTTGTTGATGATGGGGTACAGCACTGGATAAGGCTCTCAGGTCTCACTCCTTACGGAGCAGGGGAGGGTGGAGAGAGAAAGAACTGTGAAAAGAGGTGACATGGAGTGGAGCAGGCAGGCTCTGTTGGAAGAGTCTGCAGAAGCCCGGAGCGGGGGCGTGCTTGCTGCTGGCGGCAGCGGGACCGTGTAGCTGGGCTGTGCGCTGTCTGCGGGAGTCAGGAAGCGTCCAGGCCCTTCGGAGCACTCCGTGGACCCTCATTTTCATTCCGAGTAGGATGAGAAGACTCTGGAGGATGTATAAATGATTAAGATGATCTCTGCTTCCGTTCAGTGGCTTGAAGAAAACGACATAGGATGGCACTCACAGAGGCCTGGGGAGACGCGTCCGCAGGCAGGTGGCCCGGGACAGGAGGCCGCCCTGAGGCGGTGACCTTGGAGCTGAGACCAGAGGTGGAGAAGGAGCTGGGACTTCGAAGGGCTGGGGGAAGGGAGGAGGAGAGTGGCAGGGCCTTGAGAAATGAAACCAGAAGCGAAGCCCAGGGCCCAGCAGGCCCGGGGCGGAGTCCCCGCCAGCTGAGGAGGGAGGGGTGTGGGAGGCGCGCCCCGCCCCAGAGGCCCCCCATTTCCTCTCCCCCCCCAGCCCGGCCTCCGGGGAGGAGGCGGCGCCGGGCGGGCTGGGCAGCCGCAGCCAGGGCGCCGGCCCAGGCAGCCCAGGGCGGGGCGGGGCGGGGGGAGCAGTGGGTAGGGACCTGCCTCCCGGCCCGCCCGGAGGTGGCGGCGGCCCAGCCCCCGCGGAGAGCTGGGGGGAGGGTTAGAGAACCGGACTCTGCCCTGGGGACCCGGTTCTCTCCGCAGGGCCGGGCTCCCCCTCCAGCTCCAGTCTTTGAACAGGGCAGAAGCTGGGCCTCTCTGAGCCTCAGTTTACTTATCTGTAAAGTGGGCGCTATTGACCTTACTGTGGTTATCGTTATGGCAGTTAAAGAGACTATTTAAGCGTGAGTCAGATCTGGTTCTCCTGTCCAGCCCCGTCCCATCCATGGCTTCCATCTCACTCAGGATGAAGCTCACGTCCGTCCTGTGGGACTCCCACAGAACCTACACACGATGAGTCCCCCTCAACTCCGAGTACTCCCCTTGCTCATTCTGCTGCAGCCACACTGACCTCAGGGTCCCCAACCTCTCCACCAGGCTCTGGCTTCAGGGCCTTTACTTGGCTGTTCCCCTGCTCCGCCCCCGCCCCGCCCCCTGCCTCCCGCCCCCCAGATTCACTTGGCTCACTTCTCACCTCCTTCAGGTCTTTGCTCAAATCACCTTTTCACCGATGCCTTCTCTAGTCATCCATCCACATAGTGACGCCCCCATCACATTCGTGCTTTTTCTCTACAGCATTTATCACCCCCTGACAGACTGTACGTGTTACTGTGTGTGTGTGTGTGTGTGTGTGTGTTTCAGCCTCCCCCACTATAGTGCTGTATGAAAGCAGGAGCTGCCTGTCGTACTCATGTTCCAGAAGTGGCAGGCCCACAGTAGCCGCTCAATAAAAGTGAGCAATTTTGAAACTGGAATCCTGTGTGCCTAGGTCCCTTTTACACACTTTGCAGGATGGCTCGATGAGGCAAGTATGACTTCAGGTCTTGAGGTGTGGACATGCTGGTATGTTTATTTATTTATTTTTATTTATTTATTTTTAAAATAAAATATATTTTATTGATTTTTTACAGAGAGGAAGCAAGAGAGATAGAGTTAGAAACATCATTGAGAGTCATCAACCAGCTGCCTCTTGCACACCCCCTACTGGGGATATGCCCGCAACCAAGGTACATGCCCTTGACCGGAATCAAACCCGGGACCCTTCAGACGCTCTATCCATTGAGCCAAACCGCATGCTGGTATGTTTAAAGGATGGTAGAGAATGATGGAGCACAGGAGTGAGGGAGGGAGTGTTGAGATGAGTTCTGAGAAGTGGGAGGGAGTGTTGGCCATAGCAAAATCAGTTTATTTTTTTCAACAATAGCAAAAATAATTTTTTTAGTGCCCACCTATGCCAAGCATAGTTCTGTGCACCAGGGATACAGCTGGACTAAGACTGACAAAACCCCTTTCTCTGAGTTTCCAGTGGGTCAGGAGGCTAACCATAAATAGGTAATAACGAGATTGGGAGGTTGCTACTAAGAAAGTCAAACAGAACATGATGGGGTGTTGGTGCATCTGACATCAACTCAGGGAAGGCCTCTCTGAGAAGCATCCTCTGGGGAGCTAACAGCAGTGCAGAGGCCAAGGTCAAAATGCGTTTGGGATGAAGAGAGGCCAAATGGCTGGGGGGGAGGGAGGGCAGGAGGAGCAAGTGGGCCAGTTAGGAGCAAGATTGCCAGGTCTCCCAGGCTTTAGTGAAGTTGGGTTTTTTGTTTTGTTTTGTTTGTTTTTTGTTTTTAAATATATTGTATTGGTTTTTTACAGAGAGGAAGAGAGAGGGATAGAGTTAGAAACATTGATGAGAGAGAATCATCCATCAGTTGCCTCTTGCACACCCCTCACTGGGGATGTGCCCGCAACCAAGGTACATGCTCTTGACCGGAATCGAACCCGGGACCTTTCAGTCTGCAGGCTGGCACTCTATCCACTGAGCCAAACCTGTTTCGGCTGAAGTTGGGGTTTTATTCTGCGTGAGAAGTCACTGAAAGTTCCAGATCAAGATGTGAACATTATGTGCCTTTGTGAGGTCCTCGTGGCCACCCCCTTTCTTGAGTGGCACCCACATATTAGTTACCCCATTGCTTTCAACTTCGATGCAATGCCTCTCTCAGGGTGAGCATCTGGCTTTTACGTCAGAAAGCACAGGCAAAATTCCCCTTTTTCTTGCCTGTGGACTAGACCAATGCGGTTCCTCCTTGCAACCTTCCAGAAAAGTCCCTAAAGCTGTGTAAACTCACTTGCTGCCTGTCAAGCCTTGGTGGAGGCACAGCAGGGAAGTAGCAATGTTATCACCTGGTCTCTACCCCCCTCCCCTCCCCCCAGCCTGGGCTGGTACCTCCCAATAAATCCTTAGAACCTTAACTTCAGCCTGGGCTGTGCTTGCGCGCCAATGCTATTTCTTCTCCTCTGAAAGAGTTGACTTTTAAGTGCCAGAAAGCCTTATCTTTTTTACATATATATTCTTTTCATTGACTTCATAGAGGAAGGGAGAAACATCAGTGATGAGAGAGAACCATTGATCGGTTGCCTCCTGCATGCTCACACTGGGGATCAAAGCCTGCAACCCAGGTCTGTGCCCGGACCAGGAATTGAACTGTGATCTGCTGGTTCATAGGTTGATGCTCAACCACTGAGCCACAGCAGCCGGGCTTTTTTTTTTTAATCCTCACCAAGGGTGAGGATATTTTTTCCATTGATTTTAGAGTAGAAGGGAGGGGAAAGGGGGAGAAGTGAAAAACATATATGTGACATGGGGGGCAGGGATTAAAACTGGAGGCTCATGGAAATCAAAACCATCCCTTTCAAAATACTTTTATTAAAAATAAAAATAATAATAATAATAATTACAATAAAAACCTACCTCCCACCCACCCCCAAACCCGCCTTTCTTTTAAATAACGCGGCACGGAGCAGTTTGGTTTCCACCTATTGCACGTGGTCCGGCCTGGCTATTCATCAGGAGGCTGCTGGGACTGGGGTCCTGCCAAGGAGGTGGGGGTTCAGCCTGCGGGAGGAGGCCAGCCCCTCCTACTCCTTCCAGGTACGAGAGGCAGAGTCTCTGTCATCCTTCCACAGGCCCAGCGTATCTTCCCTGAGGCCCCAGTGGTCACAAAAGGAGTTAAGAACTGGAGAAGGCAGAGGAAATGTGGCAGTGGGCAACCAGACTCCCAGAAACAGAGTCTCATTAAGGCATTTGGAACAGATAAATTAATCCAGGAAGACACACCTTCACAGAAGGCTTTGGTAACCACACACACACTCACTCTACAGTTTATGGAACCCTGATATGGGAGGAAAGGAGGCCAGCCACTGCTCATAGCCTCCACCAACACACACACACACACACACACAGACACACACACACAGACACACACACACACACACACACACACACACACACAGACACACAGTTGCACCCAGGGATCCAGCCCACTGAGGCTGAGATGTGTAGGGAGCACCCTTCGATCATCCAAGCTTTAGGATCCCAGGATGATTTCCATGATGTGATCTAGTTCATTCCACTCCCAGGACCCCGGGGCACAGAAGAAGTTGTGAGGAGGCTCCAGTGGGGCCAGGGCAGGCTCCTTCTCCACAGTGGATGTGTCAATGTCCAGAAAAAAGTCATCCAGACCCGAGTCCCCCAGGTATCGAGAGCTCAGAGCCTCTAAGAAGACTGGGTCAGGCTGGGGCAGCTCTTCGTTCTGGGGGCCTGGGGGAGCCACTGGATTCTGAGGGGTCTCGGTGTCGTCCATGGAGGTCTCCAGCTCCCTGAGAATAGAGCCAATGGTGGTTGACAAGGAGAAGTCCTCCTCACCCAGGAAAAGGGGCTCGGGGGGCGAGGCAGGTGCTGGGGCCAGACACAGCGCGGCCTGAAGCTGCTGGAGGGTGTTATGGATGAGGACATGCCTGCGGAGGCTGGGCGCGCGGGGCCCCAGGCTTCGCTGGACTTTGTCGAGGGAAATTCGGAGCAGGGCTTGCTGGTAGCTTCGAAGGCCTGCTGGACTCCAGTCCCACTTCTCATCCTCTCCTTCCTCCAAGTCGGAGTGTTTCCTCTTCAAGCCTCCTACCATGGTGCCCTGTGGAAAGGAGGGAGGGGCAGGTCAGACACAGTGGGGCTGGTTCAAATCCTGAATCCCCTGCATGGTTGCTGTAGATTTTTAATGATCTGAACTTCAGTTTTTGCATCTACAAAATGGAGATAGTATGAACCCCATTTTGTATGTGATTAAGACAAATAAGACTGGAACATAGCTAGGTTTGGATCCCTCTTACTTGCCTGGGTCGCCCAGAATAGTGAGTTTTCCTTCTTGAAATGCAATTTCCTCATTTGTAAGGTTAGTATCCTAACTCAAATCCCTTTGAGCCTTAAAGCTATTCTTTCCACAGTACTCATTAAAAAGAATTACTGATTGATTTTAGAAAGGGAGGAAGGGGAAAGCGGGAGAGAAACACTGGTTTGTTGTTCACTTATTTAAGCGTTCAAACCTTCAATTCAACCTTGGTTTATGGGGGTGACACTAACCCGCTGAGCTACCCGGTCAGGGCTTCTACAACACGCATTCCTTCAAATGTGACCCATTTGTGGACTACAGAGACCTAGCCCGAAGCAGGGAACCCTCTGTGAAGTCTGCCTTTCACACCGCTCACTGTGCGATTCTGGAAAGTGAGTGACCTTACCTCTCTGGGCATCGTTTCCTCGCCTATGATTGGGGATTGTAAAAATCCTCACCACGTCATCAAGGAGACCCCACGTGTGATGTGCACAGGGCTCACCACACAGGAAAAGCTTACTGAACAGGAGTTAGTTGCCATTTATTAATTCAATAATTTTACTTATTGGGTGTCTATTTTATTCAAGCCACCGGGAGCCCTGTTTGGGCACCTCGCCCATTTTTCAAGATTCTCTTTTCAGAGTGTATTTCCATCCACGCTGTTTTCCAAACTGAACGCGCGCGCTCCCGACGGGAGGGAAGGGCCTTCCTCCTTCCCTCCGCCCTCGCCTGAGGCTTCCCCCGACGGAGGCCCCGCAGAAAAACTTGCTAGAACTCGATTCACGGCAAGCCCCACCCCTCCCGGCCTATCCAATCGGATCTCGGTCCTCTACAGACCCCGCCCCCTTCAGCACCAGCCACGCCCAAACTTGGTCCTAGGGCTTCTGGGAAATGTGGGCCCACGGCCGCCAGGTACTCACGCAGCCCGGAGCCTGCACTGCAATCCCCAGGGAGCTCCGCGCGCCACAGGAAGACCCTCCCCTACCCTCCCCAGGGCATGCGCACAGGCGCCCGGAGCGGGTGGGGGAAGGGAACCCGGACGTTCAGCCGCCGGGCGCCGGCAGGGCCCCGCCCTCCGCTGCCTCCAGGGCTGCGGGTCAGAGCTCCGCGCCCGGAACACCCCTCCCCCACCCAGGCTGCAGCTCTAACACTGCTCTCTCCCGATCTCTCGGACCCCAGAAGGCCCTGGAGTCCTCCCCAAACTGCTCTCGTGTCCAGACCCAGCCGCCAACACATCGTTCAGAGACTACGAATGCTCTCCATCTGCTCCGTTTGGGACACTAGGTCTATCAATTTGGAGACCTTTCGCCTATTCTGTCTTTCAAACAAACTCTCGACCTCACCTCCACCCCTCTTCCCCACTCCCCCCTGGCTCCAAGACCTGAACTCAGAACTCTCCCCAGCACCCTCTCTCCCCCATTGCGTCTGGGAAACCAAGATTGCTTGCCCCTGGTTCTCTGGCTTCTCCAAATGCCCGGGACCCCAGCCCCAACCCCTCCCACCTTTTCCAGAACACCAGAGCCTCGAATTCAACTCGTCAGGGAGAACAGGGATTGTCCCAATCCCCAGATTCCCTGCCCCAAAAGTTCCTTCCCCGGTTCTCCCGCTTCTTCAAATACCGCAGCTCCCAGCTTCAAACTCCCTCCACTTGGAAGATCCTGCCCCAGCACCTTCGCCTCCAGTCCACGATTTCGAATGCAGTCTCCGATCCCCAAAGCCTACCCGTCACTCGGAATCTGCGCTCCCCACTCCCACCCGGGGTCCGCCCCCACAACTCTCGGGGTGCGCCTCCACCGCCCCCAATCCAAGGCAGTGCTCAAGCCGGGCAGCCGCCCCTCACCTCTGCTGCCAGGCTCACTCCCGGCACACCCGCAGCTTCGCGACCCTCCGGTGGTGGGCAGGGGCCTCGCTCGCCTCCCGGGGCCTCTCGCTCTGGCCTCGGGCTCACCCGGCCCCGCCCCGAGCCGCGCCGCGGGCCGCGATTGGCTGGAGCCCTGCCCGCCCGGGGCGCGGACTGGCTGGGCGGGGTCAACCCTGTCACCCGGAGACCGACGGCCCGCCCCCCCTTCCCGGCGCCCGAGACCTTTTAAAGAATTCCGACTCCCGGGGGCGGGGCCGCGTCCGTGGGGTGAAAGGCGGGGGGGGGGGGGGGACTTGGAAACTGTTTCCTTCAAGTCGGCGGCGGTCCTCGCTCGCACTGGGTCTGCACTGCCCGCTGAAGCCCTTCAGGCCGGGCCGAGCCCGCGGAGAGCAAGACGGGCTGCCCGCCGCCTCGCTCCGCTCCCCGGGGGACGGGGAGCCACCAGCCGCGGCCGCGAAGCTGCGCCCCTCGGCCGGCGCTGCGGGGAGGAGGACGCCGCCCAGGGCCAGCCAATGGTTTCGCGCGGCGTACGTTGCCGGGGCGATCGCAGCCCTTCCTTTCGCTTCCCCTGTCCTCCTGCCCCTCTCGACACTTTACCTCTCCGCCCCCTTACTCTCCGGGGCTCCTTCAGCGGGTCTCCCCGCGGCCGTCCGTCCCGCACCCGCCTGGCGCCCCATCCTCCTCTCCCCGGGTGGCACCTGCGCTGCCGGAGACTGGACACCGCTCCCCTGGGTACAAAGTCCGAACTCCTCACTTTCTCCACAAAGCCCTTCACACGATCTGGCCCGAGGCACACTCCTTGTTCCCTACCACCCCAATTGGTTTTTTTGAATTGGCTTCTGGTGTCCTCCACCACTATGAACACAGATATTTTGTGCGGGTTTTTCTCTACTTTATCCCTAGTGCCTACAACAATGCCAGATACATAGCAAGTACTCAAAAGTGAGAATTAAAGGGGTTAAATGAGCATACCATACAGTGTACAGATATTGAATTGTAATGTTGTACACCTGAAATTTACAAAATGGAATAACCACTGTCAGCTCAATAAAATTTAACTTTAAAAAAAAAAAGATTTCTGGCTGAAACCGGTTTAGCTCAGTGGAAAGAGCGTCAGCCTGTGGACTGAAAGGTCCCGGGTTCGATTCCAGTCAAGGGCATGTACCTTGGTTGCAGGCAAATCCCCAGTTAGGGGGTGTGCAAGAGGCAGAGCTGGTCAATGACTCTTTCTCATCCATGTTTCTAACTCTCTCTTCCTCTCTGTAAAAAAAACAATAAAATATATTTTTTAAAAAAGATTTCTGGATAAATCAATAAAAAAGAATTTAAGAACATTTGTAATACTTTCAACAATAAAGATAAATTTAAAAAAAGAATTGAAAAGAAAAAAGTTTCACCAAAACCGGTTTTGGATAGAGCGTCAGCCTGTGGACTGAAAGGTCCCACGTTCAATTCCGGTCAAGGGCATGTACCTTGGTTGCAGGCACATCCCCAGTGTGCAAGAGGCAGCTGATAGATGATTCTCTCTCATCAGTGTTTCAAACTCTCTATCCCTCTCTCTTCCTCTCTGTAAAAAATCAATAAAATATATTTTAATAAAAAAAGAAAAAAGTTTCTGGACCTTTCAACTTGTTTCCCCATTCTGAAAATAGACCCTTAACTCCCAGGCTGCCTCTCATCAGAAATCACACCAAAGGGTTCCTCTTCTCGGAAGCCCTCCCTGACGCTCCAGGGTGGGTTGGTTTTCATGGTAACCTGTTTTCCCCACTGAAACCCTGACCCATCTGCCCATGCCTCCCTCATCCTTTCCCTGGGTTGTCACCGACTGTGGACTCCCTGAGGATAGGTACCAAGGTTATCTCAGTCACCAACTGTATGGTCACAGCAACACCTAGCAGAGCGCTGGACACAAGCAGGCATCCAGTGAAAATATGCCCAGACAATGTGGCAGGATGAAATAGAGGGTAGGAATGCAACAGTGCCAGTGCCCAGAAAGTTTGAACGAGTAGTATCTCTTCCCCCATCACCACCACAACACACACACACACACACACACACACACACACACTCACACACACGTTTTCACAAAGAGGAGGGGGGGGCAGTTTTCTCCAGGCTATCCCAGACCAGTTCTCCCTGGTTGGAACTTGACAACTAAGTCATCCTGCTGTTTGCAGAAACAGTAAGACGAATGGATTTTGTGAAAGGTGGACGTGGGGTGGGGTGTGGCATGGGAGCTGGGAGAGGCTGGAGGTGTGAAGAGAGGAGCAGGTCTCACTCAGGCCTGGGAAAGGTGTCTCTGGGAAACACAGGCAGGGACAGTAGATTCCATGGGGACATGATTAAGCAGGGACAATTCTCCCCGCTCCCACACCTGGCCCTCCTCCAGGACCTCATCTCAGGGGGGCCCCATTGTAACCTGGTCCCGGGGTACAGCCCTGTCTCCTCAGGTTGCTGCCTTCCCCTCCTCATGGCCGTCCACTCAGGCTCTGCCCACTCTCAAGGTTTCTGCCCGGTCCCCCTGGGCTCCCAGCTCCCACGCTTGTTCCCCTCCCACCCACCTTCTCACAGTAGCCAAGGGAAGCTTTATAAAACCCAAACCTGATGTTCTCCCCCTTCTCCCCCACCCCCTTCTCCCCTGTTCCAGTCCTTGCATAAAACCTCAGGATAAAGCTTAAACGTTTTACAATGACTCTGCACAATTTAGCATCCATGGAACAGCCTGTTGGGCAGACCACTCCTCACCACTGAGAAAAGTATTAATAACTGTAGTTCTTCATCTGCTCTCCAGCCCCCTGGCCTTTGTTCATGTGGTTCCTTCTGCCCAGAAGCCATCACGCCTTAGGACCTTCTCCTGATTCATTCTTACCAAACCAGGTTTCAGGTAGGACCTCCCCTCTTCAACAGAGCCTTATGTGCTCCCCAAGTTAGATCAAGTATCCCCTCTGGGTTCCCACAGCCCACCGTGCTTCCTCCGTCAGAGCCCTCGCCACTGGGGGCTGTCACTTCGGACGGTGAGATATGTGAAGGCAAAGCTCACAGCTATCTTGGTCACCACTGGGTCCTCACAGTCACCACGCGGTCCCCAACACAGGGCCGGGTGCAGAGCAATAAACTGCAACTGTGGAAATGAAGGAATCCCCGGAGAATTTTACACACAAGGCAGACAGACACACGGAGATACCCAAAGCCAGAGTGGGAACTTCTGGCATAATCTGAAGCTCTTGGCTCAAGCTTTATTGCTCCCTTCCTTTGCTCCACGTTCTCCAGGATGCTGTCCTCCCGGGCAGGGCCAGAGCCCTAGTCATACTGGTGGGAAGGGTAGGTTCTGTGCCCATCATACTCGTCGGTGGTGAGGCAGCGCAGCATGAAGTGGCCGAGGTCATGTTTGGAGATGACTCTCGAGGGCCCTCGTCCATCCAGGGTCACCGTGTAGGCCCCGGTCAGTGGCTGGTCTCCTGCAGAATGAAGACAGAGGGCGAGTAAAGGTGTTCTTTCTTGGCTCCCCAACATGATCACTACGGTGGCCCCAGGCGGCCTACAGTGTGCCCAGCTATAATGGTATTGAGAGCCATGTTATGTGAAACCCTTCCCACATGCGCAGCACTAATCTATACCCTTTGTTTCATCAATCCGACAAATTCTGGAGACCTACTATGTGTCAGGTGCTGGGCACCCAGCGAGGGACAAAACAGAAATTCCTGCTCTCAGCATGTAGTCATTTACTAGGTAAAGACAACTAAGAATAAAGTGCAACACACAGTGTGTTAGTGGGGAGAAATAAAGCAGAGAACGGGCTAGGAACTATTTGTTAATTCTGTTTTATCAATGGGGACATTGAATCTTGGAGAGAGAAAGCCACTTTTAAGTGGCAAAGACTGGGTTTGCTCTGGTCTCTCCATCTGGATGCTTTCCTGTCTCCCGGCCCCCCTGGAAGGACGGAGTGGCATGTCTCAGGCATGGGATTTCGCAGGCAGAGGAAGAACACATTTTTCTGACTTTGTGAATATGGAGTCAGTGTCCTGGTGCCAGGGGTACAACCAGGTCTTTCTTAGACAGTGGAGACAGCAGACAGGCATGATGGGCAGTTACAGGGCATCTAATGGCTGCATTATAATAATTAAAAAACAAAACAAAACACTTGCCAATGACCAACTTAATTTAGGGACCAAAGACAGCGTACAGTACAGGGACAGCCTGGAACCGTGTGCACTAAGAAACACACACCCTCACCCTCATTGCATTCCTACCAAAATGTTTAATCTGCATCTATGAGAAACAACCAGAAATCCAGAACGTAAGGCATTTAAAAAGACACCTGGTTCATGTTACAAGAAACATTAAAAAAAAAAAAAAGATACATATTTTATTGACTTTTCACAGAGAGGAAGGGAAAGAAATAGTTAGAAACATCGATTAGCTGCCTCTTGCACACCTCTTACTGGGGATGTGCCCGCAACCAATGTACATGCCCTTGACCGGAATCAAACCTGGGACCTTTCAGTCCGCAGGCCGACGCTCTATCCACTGAACCAAACCGGTTTTGGCTAGAAGATATTTTTTGACAATGGGGAAATTTGAATATGACATAGATACTAAATGGTATGAGAGGGTTCATGTTAATTTTCTTGGTTCAATAATGGCCCTTTGGCTTATACACATTGTTGTTCTTCTTGGGAGATGGTGATTGAGGTCCTAGGAGTGAAGTATGACAATGTCTGCAACTTACTCTTAAGTGGTTCAGTCAAAAACACTGTTGTGTGTGTGTGTGTGTGTGTGTGTGTGTGTGTGTAACATTAGGTACAAGTGTAGATAATTGATAGATAGCCAGTTAGATATAGAAAAACAGGGCAAAATGCAAACAAGGCAAAAAGGTTAAAAGCTGAGCCCAAATAAAGAGTTTAAGTATTCAGAAACATTTCATTCCTTCAACTTTCCTGGAGGTTTTATAGTTTTACATGCACACATACAAAAAACTTTGAAAAGTACTCTGTGTTAGAATAACTTTTAGGCATGACCTCTCCGGGTACTTACTTCAAACCTAGCAGGTCAAGAAGTATTGTGAGCCCTGTCTACAGGCGAGGAATCTGAGACTCAGAGGCCAAGGGCTGGAGTTTCACCCAGCTTCTCTACGAGGCAGCTTCTCCACTGAGTCAAAGCTCAGGACCTTGGTATCTATAGGGTCCTGATACAATCCCTTAATTGAATCTAAACACTGAATCTTAATTGACCCTCTAGGGCAGTGGTCGGCAAACCACGGCTCTCAAACTGCATACGGCTCTTTGGCCCCTTGAGTGTGGCTCTTCCACAAAATACCACGTATGGGCGCGCATGTACAGTGCGATTGAAACTTCGTGGCTCATGCGCAGAAGTCGGTTTTCGGCCTGGGCGAGTCTATTTTGAAGAAGTGGCTTTAGAACACTCAAGGGGCCAAAGAGCCACATGTGGCTCACGAGCCTTGGTTTGCCGACCGCGGCTCTAGGGTATGTCATCCCTCACTCCTGTCAGGGGCCCCAGAAAGCAGAGGGTGGAGCAGAACTCTTCCTCCAGCTCAGGCCTTTGGGTCTTTTCATTGCTGTTCCTTATCCCATCCTCTCCCCGCAGTGCAGGAGGCCACCTCCTTCAGAACCTACGTTTCATAAACGGCAACCATTTCTACTCCCTTCACTGTGTTTGCTTCTTCACTCACTGTAGCACTGCCCGCCAGCCATATCCGCCTCTTATGTGGCCTGAAGCAAACCCCTGCGGGGTTTTGTCCTATGCTCATCTCCCCCCTAGAAATGTAAGCCTCATGGGAGCAGAGGCTCTATTGCCAGTGCTCCTCATGCAAGAGGTATCTGCTGAATGAAGGCTCTCTCCCTGTGTCTGACTCTGTCTCTCGGTGGGGATTCCAGACTGCGAGGGGGAAAAGGGCACAGGTGCAGTTCACTGGTTTCCTCCACAACACCATTATGGGAGGAGGTTCCTCGTATTAATTCACCCAACAAATGTTTGCTGAGCATCTCCTAAACGCCAGGCCCTGGTCTAGGCACTAGGAACACGGCTGTGGTCTAACCAAGACAAGATCCGTTCCTCCAAACAGTGGGCACCCTAGTGAGGGAGACACGCAATAAATAAGAAATGACATGCCAAAACCGGTTTGGCTCAATGGATAGAGCGTCGGCTTGGGGACTGAAAGGTCCCAGGTTCGATTCCGGACAAGGGCATGTACCTTGGTTGCGGGCATATCCCCAACAGGGGGTGTGCAAGAGGCAGCTGATCGATGACTCTCTCTCATCGATGTTTCTAACTCTCTATTTCTCTCCCTTCCTCTCTGTACAAAATCAATAAAATATATTTAAAAAGAAAAGAAAAGAAAAGAAATAACAGGTAGTGAAGTGTAAGCCTCCTTCCTCTGAATCTGGGCCTGCCCTCGGAACTCGCTTCTAATAACAGAGCGTAGCGGAAGCAGCGCTGGGGCCTGACTTCAGGGGAGGCCACATACTGGTTCAGCCACCCGGGTGTCTGGGAGGAAGCCTCCCAGCAGCTGGGCAGCCTAGGGTGCGAGCCTCCCTGAGCCCAGTCAGCTCTGGGCACCGAGTCAGAATAAACGAGAATGATTTGTCCAGCAGACATAACTGAAAAACGTTAGAAAGGAGAATAAAATCGAGCATGAAAAAGGACAGGAAGTGTGGAGGGGAAGGTTTGCTATTTGAGGTGAGCCCGGCCAGGCCTGGCAGATGTCCCCAGAGGACGGGAGGGGCAGGCCGGCGGCCACACTGCTGCTGGTCCCGGCCCCACTCACCGATGTGGGGCGGCATCACCGCCACGTACTTCAGCCCCGAGTCCTGCAGCACTTTGTGCATCCGGATGTGGTCATCGGTCACGGCCTGTAGGCGTGGGGGCACCTTGGTCGGGTCCCACAGCAGGAAGGCTGGGGGACACAGGGCAGGGTCAGCAAAGGCAGGACAGCCTGGCCAGGTTAGCATCAGGACAAAACCCCGCAGGGGCTCACTGCAGCCTTCCGGTTGCTTCAGGCTCAAAATCTCTCTCATAGGCCACATAAGAGCTGACCGCTTCCCACCCCACCCCCTTCTGTCCGCTGTTCTCCCTGTCTCTGCCCTCAGTCTGTTCCCTGAATGCAGTCAGAAGGGGCCTGTGAACACCGGAGGGGCTGGAGCTCATCCATGGCTCCGTCTCACTCAGGGTAAAGGCAAATCCCCCTCAGGTGCCCACCTGACCTGGCCCCATCAGACCTGACCTCACCACTCTCCCCTTCACCAGCTCTGCTGAAGCCACACTCTGGCCTCACAGCCTCCACAACCGGGCTGATCCCTCTGCCGAGTCCCGCTGTCTTACCAGGCAGCCCTCCCTCACGTCACTCCCCTTTCTGGGAGGCACGGGTGTGAGGAATGCGGCTGCTGGAGACAAGACAGCCCGGCCTCACACCCGCCCTGCAGCCATAGCTTGTGAACTTGGTAAGCCAATGGGCCGCCACGACCTTAGCTCTACAAGGGAGACAACAGCTTCTACCGACTGTGTGCCTGCCCTGTGCCACCAGGAGTGAACTCGGGAGTTTGTGAGGGTGAAGTGGCATCCATCTCTAAGGCGCTCACACGGTGCCTGGCACACAGTAGGTGCTCAGGAAATGCTACCTGTTAGCATCAACTGCTGTTATGTACCCTGCAGCCTTCCGCTTGGATTACTTGGGGCAACTGTTTTTCTCAGGCTCATCTCCCATACCTGGAGAGCTCTGTGAAGGCAGAGATGTGGTCTGTGCACCCACAGCTCTGTCACTTCCCCTAGAACGCTCCTTAACCTCATCTCAGACTGCTAGGTGCCTCCGCTGGGCTCGAAGTCCTCTAGGCTGCCCCCTATCCTGGCCTTGACCTCTCTGCCTGGGCCCCATCCTGGGTCTGACCTCTCAGCCTTGGCTGCCTCCCCCCAGTGGCGGCCCTCACAATTGTGGCCTGTCACTGTTTGATGACCGCCTGTTTGCCTCTTCCCTGTCATCTGTGAGATCCGTGAGTGGAGGGCCCAGGGCTGTTTTGGTCACCACTATGTCCCTGGCATCTCCCAGCAAGGTCCAGGCACACAAATGGTGCTCCATAAATGCACAATAACTTGAGATGGCTCCAATGCCACCTTGCAAAGGCCTCTGGGCTGCCATTTACCCCCCCACCCCCACCCTTCAGCCCCATCCCTGTGACCCCACCACCCACCCGAGGTGCAGGCCACGACCTTGTCGACACCATGGGCCTTCATGGCCGCCACAATGTTCTGGGCACCCTCGGACATCACTGTGGTGGGACCTTAGAGGGGACAGAGAGTGGCTGTCACTGGTGGGTGGCGGCGGTGGTGGCGGGGGTGGCAGAGGTGGGGCAGGGGGTGGGGGAGGTGCTGGGGGCCGAGGTGCAGGTGGGGGCCGTGGGCAGAGGGGGGGCCGAGTACTGAGGTCATTGCCGGTGCCCAACAGCACGATGACAGCGTCCTGCCCGGCCACAGTCTTGTCCACATCGGCTGCCTGCCGAACGTCGCCCACCACCACGTGGGCTGGCTGAGGCCCCTCCGAGGGCAGCCTGGAGGAGTCCCGCACCAGCACCGTCACCTCGTAACCTGTGGGCACAGAAGGGCAGAGAGGCAGGTCAGGAGGCTCTCGGGCGGGCACTCCTGGGCTCCTGAGGGTTCCATGAGGCCTCCAATACATCCTCTGGTTCTGTTCTGAGGCAGGGGCCGCCCAGAATTTTTGCTGGCATACCGACCGCTGATATTGAGGCAGTTGTTAAGATTGGGCCATTCCTTCATGCGGGCCCATAAACAACCTGCACTGATGCCTCTAAAGCCCTCTCTGCCCCCGCCTCCCCCAGACTTCTGAACTGGCATCCATAGTCCTGGAAGAAACTGAGGAAGACATGAGTTGCCTAAAGGTTGCCCAGTGCTGGGATTGGTGCCCCAGGCCTTATTTCTGCAGAGCCAGGCCCTGCCTTAGTGGCCATTAAAGATTTTGAACATTGCCTTGGTATATTTCCTCCCAAAAGAATTTTTGATAACTTATGTCTCCCCTTCCCCATATACATACCCATTTTAAAGTTCACAACCAACATAATTATCCTTTTTTTAAAAAACAGTGACAAAGGAGTATCTATATCACTATAAATACAAATGTTGATATCTATATCATTATACAAGGCTAACTAACATGCAAATTGTCCCCTCCGGAGCAGGACTGGGAGACCCGGAGGTTGATTGCTGGCAAAGACATGTGCTGACCACCAGGGGGCAGTGTGGAGTGAAGGAAAGCACGATGTTCCCTGATCTTGGGCCAAGCCTAGGGACCCTACCTGTGCACGAATTTCATGCACTAGGCCTCTGGTTAAAAAAAAAAAAAAAGAAAAAAAGATTAATGGTGGGCTCTATTATGCACTGAAATGTCCCGCCAAAGTGATGGTGTTTAGAGGTAAGTAGGTTTAGATGAGATCACGAGTGTGGGCCCAGTGGTGGGATTAGTGTCTTTAGAGGGAGAGGAAGATAAACCAGAGCTCTCTCTCCATCATGTAAGAAAGACATCTGCAAGCCTGGAAGAAGATTCTCATCAGAAACCACACCTGTTGGTACTTTGATCTTGGACTTCCCAGCCTCCAGAACTATGAGAAAGGCATGAATGTTGTTTAAATCACCCAATTTTGTTACAGCAGCCTGAGTCAGCCACATATATCATCCTCCTGAAAACCGAACCACAGCTCCTTGAGAAATGGCTGGTGGGCTGGGGATGGGCAAGATGAGCTGGGAGGGCAGTGCTTAAATGGTGGGGCCATGAACTCAATGGAAACATAGAGGATATATAGAAATAATGATACTAACAAAGAAACCTCATTGGTCATCACCTGTCAGAGGATTAATCTCTTACTCTGAGAATAATAAAGGAAGAGGAAAAACAATGAATTTGTTGCATTTCTATTGATTTCTGTCATCACCATTTCAAAAACAAACAGTGGAGATTTACACTCTGGGCAATGATGATGATAATGGTAAATAATATGTACAGAGCACTCACTCTGTGCCAGGTGTCAAGTGTCTTACAAATATAAACTCTCTTACATATCTAGTTCTCAAAGTAACCCTTGGCTTGAATTCCAGTCTTACCACTAGCTAGACATTGGGCAAGTCACTTACCCTCCTTGAGCCTTAGGCCCTTCATTTTTTTTAAAATATATGTATTTTATTGATTTTTTACAGAGAGGAAGAGAGGTATAGAGAGTTAGAAACATCAATGAGAGAGAATCATCGATCAGTTGCCTCTTGCACTGAGCCAAACCAATTTCGGCAAGCCCTTCATTTGTAAAGTGACACAAATAATAGTCTCTAAATTATAGGTTTGTTGTAGGGTTAAATAATATTTACACAGCCATTTTGTTCCCATTGAAATTAATGTTTCATCAATAAAGCACTATTGTGCGGAAACCTGTTTGGCTCCATGGATGGAGTGTTGGCCTATGGACTGAAGGGTCCCAGGTTCAATTCTGATCAAGGGCATGTACATTGCACATCCCCAGTGGGGGGTGTGCAGGAGGCAGCTGATCAATGTTTTTTTCTCATCGATGTTTCTCTCTATCCCTCTCCCTTCCTCTCTGTAAAAAAATCAATAAAATATATATTTAAAAAAAGAATTTTAAAAAATAAAGTACTATTGTTTAGAGATTTAAAAAAATAGAACTAGCCAAAACTGGTTTTGCTCAGTGGATAGAGCGTTGGCCTGCAGACTGAAAGGTCCTGGGTTAGATTCCAGTAAAGGGCATGTACTGTGGTTGAAGGCACATCCCCGGTGGGGGGGGCGCAGGAAGCGGCTGATCGATGTTTCTCTCTCATCGATGTTTTTAACTCTCTATCCCTCTCCCTTCCTTTCTGTAAAAAAATCAATTATATATATATATATATATATATATATATATATATATATATATATTTTTTTTTTTTTTTTTAAATAGAACTAAAAACTTAATGTAGACAATTGATTTTTGACAAAGGTGGCAAGACCATTCAACAAATGGTGTCAGGACAACTGGATATCCACATAAAAAAGAATGAAGTTGGATTCCTACCTTATAACATATATGAAAATTAACTTAAAATGACTCAAGACCTAAATGTAAGATCTAAAACTGTAAAACACTTAGAAGAAACATAGGCATTAATCTTTGTGACTTTGGGTTAGACACTTAGCTACAACACCAAAAGCACAAGCAACAAAAGAAAAAGTAGATACACCATTGAAATTAAACATTTATGTACCCCTAAGGGCACCATCCGGAAAGTAAAAAGACAATGTGGGAGAAAAGTCTGCAAAGTGTATCTCTGGTAAGGGGCTTGAACTTAGAATATGTGTATGAAAGAATCCTAGGTCCTGGCCATGTGACCTAGTTGGCTGGGCTTCATCCCATGCACTGAGAGAGGTCGCAGGAGGATTCCCATCAGGGAACACACCTGGATTTCAGGCTCCATCCCCAGTAGGGGATGTGCAGGATGCAACAGATCAATGTTTCTCTCTCTTCCTCTCTCTCTCAAATCAAAACATTTAAAAAAATATTTTTATTGGCCGAGACCAGTTTGGCTCAATGGATAGAGCGTCGGCTTGGGGACTAAAAGGTCCCGGGTTCGATTCTGGTCAAGGGCATGTACTTGGTTGCGGGCATATCCCCAGTAGGGGATGTGCAAGAGGCAGCTGATTGATGACTCTCTCTCATCGATGTTTCTAACTCTCTATCTCTCTCCCTTCCTCTCTGTACAAAAATCAATAAAATATATTAAAAAAATATTTTTATTGATTTCAGAGGAAAAGAGAGGGAGAGAGAGACAGACACATCAGTGATGAGAGAGAATCATTGATCGGCTGCCTCTGCATGCCCCACACCTGGGCATGTGCCCTGACCAGGAATCAAACCATGACCTGCAACCTGGGCATGTGCCCTGACCAGGAATCAAACCATGACCTCCTCAACCACTGAGCCTGCAACCTGGGCATGTGCCCTGACCAGGAATCAAACCATGACCTCCTCAACCACTGAGCCATGCCAGCTGGACTAATTGTATATTTTAAAGGGGTGAATTGTATGGAGTGTGAATTGTACCTTAATAAAGCTGTCATAAAAATACAAAACTTACCGGTGTGGCTCTGTGGTTGAGCATGGACCCATGAACCGAGAGGTTACCAGTTCAATTTTGGGTCAGGGCATACGCCTGGGTTTTGGGCTCGACCTTCAGTAGGGGACGTGCAGGAGGCAGCCGATCATCCATGTTTCTATCTCTCTATCCCTCTCCCTTACTCTCTCTCTAAAATCAATAAAAACATATTTTTAAAAAATCACATGATCTCATTGAAAAAGAACAAAATAAACTGATGAACAAAATAGATCCAGAGACACAGGAACATGGGTGGAACAGACTGTTGAGTCTCAGAGGGAAGGTGGAGGTAGGTGGATGGGAAGAGATTAAACAAAGAACTTATATGCATATCTGCATAACCCATGGACACAGACAAGGCCTGGGGGCAGAGGCGAGCTCGAAGGGGTAAATTGTGGGGGGGAAGGGTCATCAGTAACACTTTCAACAATAAAGATAAATTTAAAAAATACAAAACTAAAACAAATGAGAAGTTTAGGAGTGCCTGGCATGGGAATGAGTGCTACATGGGTGCTAGCTGTTACTAGCCTGTCAATCACCTCACAATGTTATTTCCTGGTGTAACCCTCCCAGGCTCTCCCGACCCATCCCGTCCTCTCCAATCCAATTCCGCATGGCAGCCAGATAGAGGCTTCCAGAGAAGTGGTCCCCCAACCCCCGACCCCCCATATCTCTCCTGTGATCCCGTGCCCTGAGATACAGCCATCATGGCAACCTTTAAGGCCCCTCAGGATCTGGCCGGTCTTCCTTCCCACCCTGTGCTGGGGCCACCGTCCTCGGCCACCTTTCAGCTCCTCAAACACATGCTGCTGCCTCTGAGCCCTCCGCCTGGGACCCCTTTACCCTCTCCACAGGCCCCACCAGCCAGCGTGCTTCCACTTTCACGGCCCTACTTGCGCTGACCTGGAATAAACCCAGGGTCCTATGGGGCCACAGACTGTGTCATATTTGCCACCACCTCCCTGACTTTCTATAAACACAAAAGCACAGGCTTTACTGCCCGGAAGACCTGGGTCAAACTCTAGTTCCGCCACCTACTGGCTGAGGAATCGCAGGAAACCCCTTTTAGTCTTCCCTAGAAAGTGAAGGTCATCAACTTTGTAAGGCATATGAATGTCTAGCCACTAGGCTGTGTACTTGAAACTAATATAATATTACTAGCTTCCCGATGCACAAAATTCATGCAAGGGGCTCGGCCCTCGCAGCCCCAGCTGCCTCTGCCGGCCCTCGCAACCCTGGCTTCATCCGGAAGGTCGTCCGGACGATTGTTCTGCTACTCGGTCTAATTAGCATATTAGCTCTTTATTATATAGGATACGTCAAGTGTAACTGGAAAATAAATATTTTTTTTTTAAAGAAAAGAAAGTGAAGACCACAATCCTGTGTTCTCATTCCATGTGACCACCTTTCATAAGGGAAGGACACAAAATCTGTGCAGCCCTCCCCTGCATCTGGGAGGAGCAAGGCCTTTTGCGTGCCAATGTGGGCACTGCTTACCTGCCACTGGGTTGGGTAAGACAGATCCTGGTAAACTGTGGGAATTTTTCAGGGAAGAACAAGGTCTCACAGACAGTGAGAACTCTGACACAGGATCTCAGCATGAGGACACTCATCAATGCTACATTAATGGTGATTATATACAAACCCATAAAACCAATATTTAACATGTGATACATTCAGATATTGTTGTAACCAACTGCATATATATAGAACTCACTAAGACCCACAGTTTGAAAAGCACTAGATGGCAACAACCTTACAAGGTAGGTGTTATTATAATGCCTTTTGAGGATAAGGAAACAGGCAATTTTAGGTCACCGGGCCAGGATCACACAGCCACGATCTAAGTTCATTCAGTCAAGGATTGCTTATTGAGCACCAACTATGGTTCTAGGCACTTTCCATATGTTATATTATCTAATTATCACAAGACCCCATGGCAAATGCTACTGGTTTCATCCCCACATAACAAATAGCTAGGTACGCAGACCAGACTTGGCCACACAAGGTGGTTAAGGGCAGAGTTGGCGCTTGAATGTGGGCAGGCTAGCACCAGAGTCCAGGCCTGTTAAGAACTCGGCCCCATAGGATCACTGGGTTAATAAAAGCCTAGCTCATTCAACAGCAAGGCTCTGGGCTGTGCAGGGTCTTGTAGAGCCACCATGAGAAGGCAAGGCTTCCCAAGCCCCAGCTTTCAGTTCCCCACGGTGCAGCCCCAATGGTGGCCAGCAGGTGGGTGAGCAGGCTTCAGTGGAACTCAGGATTAAGGAAAAGGTAGTAACACGGGAACCAAATCCTCAGAGTGACTCAGCACTTCCTCCCCTCCTTTAATTATTTTTCCTTATTACTCAGCACTTCTTACTTCTCCTCTTACTTCCTCCCCCACATTGTTTATCAGCAACTTTGTCTCTCTCCTTCCACAAGTTAAGATCCAAACTAGGGGGGAGGGCAGTGGGCCGAGGGGGGATTCTGCAGGCAGAGTGCCTCCGAAGGAGGCCTGGAGACAGCTGAGAATGCAATCCTGGTGGCCTCCACCCTTTTGGGACTCCCAGATAGTTCGTATCTTCAGAGTCACCAAGACCCGCAAGGGTGGGGCCCTATATCTGGAGGTCTCAGGCCCAGCTGGGTGTTGGTGAAGTCTGGACGGTGGCCGCAGAAGGCTCCCAGCTATGCCCTTTCCCCGGGACTCTGAACATTCAGCCTCACTGACTTTCGGGGTTCCCAAGTCTTCACCCATGTTTCTGTGACCCTCTCTCCATTAGATGGACTCACAACCCTCCCCCACCCCCCCCTAGACTTTCCAACCTCCTGTCTTGGTGTCCAAGCCAAGCACCAGTGGGCTTTTGGTGGTTATGAGCATGGGTTCAAATCCCAGCACTGTCACTTCCCAGCTATATGACAATGGGCAAGTCACTCTCCTGGCCTCAGTTTTCTAATCGGTGAAGTAAGGTGACACTAGATCCCACCTCACATTTAGTGCTGTGAGGATTTAACACGTGTGAGGAGAGGGAGGTGGAGGGAGGCAAGCATTGCCAGGCTTAGTAACCTGTATACTCTGGGTGTGCCAACCACCACCTCCTCCTCCACTACCACCGCCACCACCACCTCCACCATTTCCACCTCCACCGCCACCGCCACCACCACCACCTCCACCACCACCACCACAACCGCCACCGCCACCTCCACCACCGCCACTGCCACCGCCACCGCCACCGCCACCACCTCCACCACAACCTCCACCTCCACCACCACCTCCTCCACCACCACCACCACCGCCACCTCCGTAACAGCACTTGTCATAAGCGCCTGTATTTAAACTTGTCATGAGTTCCCCGGGCTCCCAGGGCCCATTCCTCTTCCTTGAACTCACAGAATTGGACCTCAGAGCGTTCCCCACTGCTAACACTGTGCCCTTTGGGTCCTCACACACTGCGCACGGACGGCCCGCCCCAGCCTCGGCCAGACCCCACGACGGCCCTCCCAGTGCTCTGCCTGGCACCCGTGACCCCTCCCGCCCGGCCCCGCTCATGCCTGCTTGCACCGCCTGAGCCAGCGTGGTGAGCCCGGTCCTGCCGGTGGCGCCGAAGATGGCAATCTTCTTCACCGACATGCTGCGAGGTCGTGGGTGGGAGCCTGCGGAGCCTCGGGACGCGCGGGAACCCACTGGCGGCCGGTCCGCCCTCTGCGCCCTTCCCTAGCGGGAGGGCGGGCCTAGGGCTCGGGACACGCCTCAGCCCGCCCCGCGCCCCGCGCCCCGCGCCCCGCCGGGCCAAGGGGCGGGGCCCACGGCACATCCCGCCAGCCAGAAGCAGGGAGTGGGAGCACGCCTCTCAGGCTGGGAGGTGTGGCCACCCCTAACCTGCACGAAATTGCGGAACCAGTGCCGCCCCTGGCGCTCCGGACTCCAGGGGCGGGGCCAGGGGCGGGGCCAGGGAGGGCCACGCCCCGGGCTTTCGGGGACCACGCCCCCTCTCCCCTGTCCTGGAGCCTAAAGGTGGGTTGGGACTCACCCTGGGCCCCAGGCCTCCCCAGGGGAGGCGGGGAGGGGGGACAGTGTGAGTGTGCGGGCTGACACGGTGCAATGCGTGTCTTTGTGTCGGTGTGACTGTGTGACTGTGAGTAACCCCAAAGGAGAGATGGTTATGGTGACACCGCTCGCCATCCTGTGTGTGTGACATGCATCGCAGTGGGAGACTGTGTGACTCCACGTGTGGGGAGCACTGACACTGTTCTGTGTGACCCTGTGGTGCCAGTCGGTGCCAGTGGCGGCCTGTGATGCTGCTACATGCGTCCAGGCCAGGGGCATGGTGTGAGTGTGGGACACGTGTGGCACGTTATAAGAGTGTGCGCCTGTTAGATGGTGGCAGTGTGACACTGCGTGTGTCCTGTAAGGGTGTGTGACTCTGTGAACCCCTGAGGGTGGGGCTGTGACTGTTGGGATGCTGTGACCTCCTGTGGCGTGGTGTGAGTGTGTGATCGTGCGGGATGTGTGGCCCAGGTGAGTGTGATGAGTCTGAGTGTGTGCAGGGCATGCAGTCCTGTGTGGTTGTGAAGCTGTGTGTGACCTGAGGATGGAGCACTCTCTGTGACACCCACAGGGGTGTGGGACACTGTGTGGGTGTGCTGTGAGTGACACTGCCCGTGGGGGGGGCTACTTCAATGACATGTGTGACTAGGGTGGGAGCCGAGGTGGGACCCGGGTGGGAGCCGGGTGGGCCTGGGAATTTGCAGGTGTCACCCTGCGTGACCCCCATGGGGGGCCCTGGGAGTGGGTGCGGGCGGTGTTGGGACGCTGTGGGGGCCCTGCCCGTGTGACTGGCAGTGAGTGGCTGTGGGTGAGGGTGCACCTGTGCCTCACACACCGTGGCCTGCGGGGGCGGCGGGGCCGCGGGTGGAGAGGGTCCCGGGGGCGCGCGGGCGCGGCGGCCGCGCGAGCGGGGGAGGCGCGGCGGCGGCGGCGCATGCGGCTCCGGCGGCGGCGGACCGGGCGGGCGAGGCCGAGCGGAGCGGGCGGCGCGGGCCCGGCCGCGGACGCTGCCCGGGAGGGCGGACGGCGCCGGGAGCAGCAGGGACAGCGGCACCGCGGCAGCGGGCCCAGGTGAGCACCGCGGGGCGGGGAGCCCCTCCCGACAGCATCCCCCACCTCCCCGCATCCCTCCCCCGCGCGCGGCGGGCCTGAGCCTCGGGTCTCCCTGGCGGGGGGGAGGCGGAGGGCCGAGGGCAGAGCGAGCCCCCACCTCCCAGCCCAGCGCAGCCCCGCGCCGCGCGTGGGTCTCCCCGGGCCTTGTCCTTCCCAGGCCTCCTCCTCGGAACGGTGCCTGACTGCAGGGGGAGGCGCGGCCGCTGAGAGGTTAAAGCATCTGCTCCCACCTTCAGCCCTGCACCTTCCAGCCTTGGCCCGGCCACAGGACACTCCCTCCCACCCTCTGCCCATTCAATCTGCATCTTCCTTCCCCATTCAATCGCATCAGGGCCAGGGCTGCTCCAGGACCGCTCCCAGGGGCCTGACTGAGCTCACCAAGTGTGAAGTGCCCCCATCCCACAATGGAGAGGATTGTGTTTACTGTTTAACAGGGAGAGAAACTGAGGCCCGGAGAGGCCAAACTGAAGATACTGGGTTAAAGCCCTCAAAGCATGGTCCTTGCTAGTATTTTCACTCCCTGGTCACACAGCAAGAGTAAAGCAGGACTTGAACTCATTTCTGTCTGACTTTGATTTGCTGTGTGACCAGGGAGTGAAAATACTAGCAAGGACCATGCTTTGAGGGCTTGTAGGTATTAGCTCCCATGTTCCCTGCATTATTAACCAATCTCATCTCCAAACACCCCTAGGAAATGGGTGCTGTTATAATTACCATTTTACAGATGAACAAAGTGAGGCCAGAGGGGACATGATTTAGCCAAGGTCACACAGGTGGTAAGCAGCCCTGTGCCAGCTTTCCAAGGAAGAGGGCGAATAACAATGGATTTTGGAGAGTCCGCAAAAGAGACCATCTCCACCACACCCACCGAGACGCAGACCCAGCTTCCCTAAAATCCAGTGGGTTGGCAACTGTCTGAATCTTTTTAGGAGGGAGACGTTGATTTCCTCTGTTCCCTCCTTTCTTGTCCTGGCATCAAGCCCGGGGTCCCAGATGGTAGAGGAGATGCATCTGATGTGGCCCACCCCCTTGAATTTCATGTGTGCAATCTGGCAGTGTTCTAGGACACGGCTCCAGCCAGGCGACCTGTCAGTTAGCTATTGCCACAATAATGCTACATAAGAAACCGCCCTCAAACTCAGTGTCTTAAAACACCTATGCATCTATGTAGCCACAGAGTCCGAGGGAGGTCAGTGACTTGGGTTGGGCTCATCTGGCTTCTTCACGTGTTGGGTGGGAGGGGGCTGTGGACTGCTGGCTGCTCTTGCTGGTTTGCCTGCAACACCTGGGGCTTTGGCCCTGGATAGCCTTGCAGTGTGTTTCTCATGGCCATGGTCAAGCTCAAGCAAAAACAAGGTCTCTCGAGTCCTAGGGTCAGAACTCACCCGCACATCCACCTAAATCTGTTCATCAAAGCCGTGTGGCCAAACCCAGAGTGAACAGGGGTGGCATGCCCCTTACTTCGCTCTTCCACCCCCATTGCCACAGTCGAGAACACTGAAGAGTTATAGGACAAAGGGCGTGGCGATCAGGAAGAATTGGAGTCGTTAATGCAATGACCATGGGCAAGTGAATCAGCCCCTGTGTCTCAGTTTCCTCCTCTGTATGATGGGCCTAATAATAGCCTATCATACAGAGGGAATTTGTGGGAATTATTCAGGGAATTTGTGGGAATTAAATGAGATAATGCACATAAAGTACTGAGTACAGTGCAGTACTCAATAGATGTTAATTATTATTATTACTGCATTATAGAGTTCTATTGTTAACAGTGTTATCATTCTATCAACATCAACAGTGACAATTTGCCAAGCCCCTACCCTGTGCCAGCTTACCCAGGTGCTTTACCACAGCCTATGGCGTGGTCAGGGTGAACGTTATTGTCATGATTATTATGTCCACTTTAGAGACAGGGAAACTGAGGACAACAGAGGGATCAGGACGCACAGCCAGGCACCTTGGAAGTGGGATCTCTGAGCTCAGGCCCTGCTTCCAGCCCTAACCTACCTCTGCCCATCCCCAGGTCTCACCCTCCCCGATGGCACAGGTACCGGGGGAAGTGGACAACATGGAGGGCCTGCCGGCCTCTAACAACAACAACCCTGCAGCCCGCTGGGAGAGCCCAGATCGGGGCTGGGAGCGGGAGCAGCCCATGGCCCCCTCACTCTTCGAGTGCTCCCGGATCAAGGCCTTGGCAGGTACCTGGAAGAGGACTGGGCTGGGAGGTCAGAGGGAGGGGGCTGCTGGGTGTTGTCTGTATCCCTCAATATCTGTGTCCTGGTTGGCCTGGAGGATGGGAAGACAGTTATAGGTACTTAGAACTTGAATCTTTAGACCAGCGCTGTCCAATAGAACTTCCCAGGATGATGGGAAAATGTTCTCTGTCTGGGTGTCCAATATACTAAACACTAGTACTTGCAGTTATGAGCACTTAAAATGTGGCCAGTCCCTCCTGATGAACTGGATTTGTAATTTTAATTGGTTTTATTGGTTTAGATTTAAATGTGGCTTGTGGCTTTTGTATGTAGCAGTGCAGTCTTAGATCCTTAGGGACATGTACAGTCCCATAAACGTGGGATTCCTTAGAATCCTGAACTGCTGAACTGCCAGGTTTTAGGACCTTAGAATGTCAGACCGGGAGATGCTTTGAAACCGAGACTTTTAAAAATGGAGGAGACTCTTGTAAACAAATTTTATAGTCACAGACCTTAGGAATTTTAATCATTGGCTTCTTAGAAATCTAAACTCTAATATACACAGAGGGCTATAATCCTAACCCTTTAGAATTTCTGAATAGAAATGTGAATCCTGAGAATGCTGAGATAAATGACCAAACCTTCCTGCTTTAGCACTGAAGCCCTTGGGGACAGCTGGGATTGTTGGGCACCTACTTGATGTTTTAGAACAAAATAAACAAAACCCGGAGAATTACAGTTATAGAATCTTAGAGCCTTAGACCTGCGGAGTTGTAGATCCTTGAACCTTATGACTGTGTCTTCACGTGGCTTCAGGACCTCAGGAGAGTTTAATCATCAGCCTTAAAACTTTACAGGCAAAGACCCTCAGAGACGGGTAACTTCAAAATCGTAAGCCTTGAAAACATTAGACCCTTAGCACCTTTGATCCTTGGGATGTTAATGTCTCAGAAACATGGACTGTTACACACATAAAATATATATTGTTATAATCATAAAATCTTGAAACCCTAAAGTCAGAATCTTAGAATTTCAGTAACTCAGCATTTGACAATCTTGGGATCTTCAATTCTATGATTTTTGGAGCTTTAGAATTAAAATATGTGGAACAGGGTGTCAAACTCTGGGGAAGCAAGTGACATAGATGAGTGAGTGGACTGGGGGCTGTGGTTAGCTAGCAAAAAAATGCCCTGGACACCAGCTCTCCCCATGGGGAAATGCAGGCCCAAAGTTGCTAGCTTTGATGTTTATTTGCAATTTCCCAATTAAAAAGAA